GGTGACCTTCTAGCTAACGATGCTAACGGTGCTAACCACCGAGCCACATGCAGCCCTACACCAGGTACAGTATTCCTCGAAGAAGATCCTGAATGTTTACCTTCAACCCAGCCGCTCTGTTCACAAAAACACAATTTATCATCATCTGTAAGAAATGTGTGCAGCAAATCCACATGTTGTCCATAAAAGTCTGAAAGCTGTGAGGCACATTTAGTCCCTGTGTTCCCAGGCAGCTGTTATCTCACTGAGGACATGTTACAGAAACCTTAAAACTGCTGAATTACAGATGGCATCTCCTTAAGGTGTTTGGACTGAGGAATACAAACGTGAGTTGTGGAAATCTAGTTCATGTGATGATTTAACCCATTACCATCCTGACACTTCAAAAGCTGCTGTTTGCTCAAAGGGAATCCAAAGGAAACTTAGCATTTGTAGTGTTTCAGCAAGCTCTTCACCCTCCCGTGTAAAGAGTCCTGGGATGCCATGGTTTGTGGATTGGCACTATATAAATAACACTGAATTGAACTAAACTGAACTGAACTGTCGGCGCTGCTGGCGTCATCGAGATGCTGTCCTTTGGTATCGATGCCGCTCAACACGGACAGACATGTAGGAGAGTTTTTAAAAGAATGCCATAACAAGGTGGCTGGTTTAAAACCCACCCTTTCATAACTTTAAGTGTATGTTACACGGCAAACGTCTCACGACCTGAAAAAAGAGCACCAGTGATGACATCAGCAGTCTCAGGGCGTCTAATTTTGATGTTCTCATTTTATAGGTGTATCTGATGACTGTGCTCATTGCAAAATGATGCTCAAAGTGCATTCAGATGTGACACAAAGGGGACAGGATGTGAGTTTGCTTGTTGGCACACAGAGGACTTTGGACCTTTTTATTACGGCACACAGGCGATGTGTAATCCAGCTTCTGGACTACTGGGACTGTCACAGTCCTGCTCTCATGGCTGTACACTTCCTGAACCAAAACACGAGTCCTCGCCCTACTGAGGGACGTTCAGGGCCTTGGCAGCCTCGTGTTATTTTTAAAGTTCAAAGTAGCTTTGATTCAGGCTGAGCAGAGACGATGGCTGGTTCTGTTTGTACAGAGATAAAAGGCAGCACTAGTGGAGCTCACAAAGGTCAGGGTTACGTAACAAGCCCAAGTCCAGGCTGTTTTCTGCGCTCCGGATGTTTGCACTTATCACTCAGCGATACCGATGGTCAGCACATGTAAAAGATCATGTATATAAGTAAACCTACAACAGTGTCTACACATGTATGAATGCTATATATATGTTTCTATGTGCCACATATGTAGGTTGGTAGCTCGCTGTGCAGGATGATGATACACAACGTCCAGCCTGGAGTGCTAATGGAGGAAATAAATAAGGTGTTAAAAACTGGCAGTGCTTTGTGTGCACCATTTGTCAGAAAAGCAACAGAAACGAAGCACAACAATGCCCCCTTGTTGGATGATAACAGAATATTGGATGAAAATAATCCTTTCCTGCCCTAAAATGGCTGAGATGTAACTCCACATCACTGCTTAGTCTAGTATGTGTAGATCTATGAAGGCAGTCTCGACACACCCTGGCTCTGCCCAAATGCTGCACGACTGTACATGAGGGCAAGTTGTAATCCTGTAATACTGAGAGACACACGTTCAAACCAGAAACAGAAAGAGTCTGAAGGAGAATAACTGGTAAGAAGAAGTTCCACCCTGCAAGTTGGTCAGAGTGGTTCCATAAAAGCCTGAAACACTGAATCCAGGCTTCTGAGGCTGGTACTGCAGCTTCAAGGTGGAAAAGTTCAGTCAGGGTGATGACGGCTTCATTTATTCATGCTGGATTATCCCGGAAAAAAACACACCATGGACATGTTAACAAGGAGAAAACCTTCTTACCAGGATCACCCTAAAAGAAGTCACTGGAAAGTGGGCAGGAGCCTGATGGTAAAGACGCTACCTGCTCAACTGGACCAGTCAAGTCCTAGAAATCAGGACCTTTGAACACGTCATACCTCCCCTTGGTTCCACTGATGCTGTCAAAAAAAGGCAAACTGTTGCATGGCTTTGCTAAGTAATGGCAATCCACCAAATATCCATATCTGACTTAAATACAGGATGGATGGAAGCACCAGCAGCTACAGAACCACAGCTGTCCTGCCATCCCTTCCTTCTGAGGGTCGGAGGAGGCTGGGTGGGATCACGGTGGCAGACAGCCAGGCTCTTCTCAGGAAACCGAGGCAGGCAGGGAGTGGTTCCTCTTCCCTTATCACCATATCCTGTCCTCAGCTCTGAAGACTGAACCGGTTATACCCTCACAGTTCGAGCTGACTGGCATCAGATTAGCACTTCACACAGCCACCGGTCAGCTGGAAACCAAACTCACAATTCTCATCCCCACTTCCTGCTGAATGTGCACTCTTCCATCGTTTTAAAATGGATGGTTGTGCTTTCAAAGGCCGTTCCTCAGGTGTAAAGAAGACTGGATGTAAATGGAATACACATCCGTCTTTGTTGTCCCTGAGCAGGCCGAGGGCCTTTGAGGCTGTGTAGATCAGAAGCTACATGAGCCATGAGGTGACCCAAAACATTGTAGAACTACAATTTGTCATTTCCCTGTTTCCAGTCAAATCCTCTCAAGATCCTTAAAGAGCCAGACTTCATACTGACCATGTCCTGACAATAATGGAGGTTATAAATGCAACCAGAAGCGTTGGTGCTTGTAAGAAGAGATTTAAGGATGCCCTCAAAAAGACCTTCAAAGACTGCGAGATGGGTAACTGGGATACAGCTCCACTCGACAGACTAGTGTGGAGGAGAACCCTTCGTAATGGTGTGAGGTCCTTTGAAAGAAACAGGAGGAAGGCTGAGGAAGAGAGACAAGCCAGACCAAAGGCTACTCGGCCCCCAGACTGGGACGGCTTCCTGGCTCGATGCTTAAACACAACTTCTATGGAGCGCCATGCTCGTGTCGAGGGGCGATGGTGATGATGAAGATGATGAATGCTATTATGGCTCTATGAAGGAAGAATTCTGGCTTTGTTTTCAAGAAGACCATATGTATACAGAGGCACATGCAGTCTGCTCCTCGTGACAGTTATCCTTCACGATAGCTGACCTAGTCTGTCTCAGTCTGACCTCCAGGATGGTGCAACATGGCTACACCTCTGCACTGGATCACACAGGGTTTGTGGTGGTGCTTTGTACATGTCTAGCCTGTAGAGATGTTGGGATCAACAGCGTACTATGTCTCAGCTGGTTCCTCACTAATGTTAATTAGAGTCCAGGATCAAGAGTCCCAGCCAGGACCACGTGCAGTTCCAGTAATTGAGGTGGTCTGATATGGATGTTTGGGAACAAGCGACCCTGACACCACCTCTATCCTTGTGCTAAAGCATATTGTTCAGTCTCCAGCCAGGGCCGTGGGAGGAGGGAGACGCTTGGACTGGCATGCCACCCAGCTTTGTGTAATGGAAAGTATACGGGCCACTGGGCAGGCTGCCACACTGCTGTGGAGGAAGGATGCTGCAGATGCAGGAAGGACAGCTCCCAGTTCAGCTCTGGAGGATTTCTAGCTTTCTGTGTAACATTTTACTGTTTCTGATGCACCCAGAAATCATTTAATTGAAAAATATATGAATAAAATCACTCTTAATGTAGTTTTAAGTTTATTCAGTGCACTAAAAGTCATGAGCTAAAAACTGGCATTAAAATACTCCCCATTTGCAATTCTTTTTGAGGTTGTTGGACTCAACTGATGCATGCTGGGAGACCAATCTGCTACCATATTTCATCATATCTAAACCAACAACATGTGCCAGGTTCACCTCCATTATGCCCGACCTGGAAATGTGCGTATGCCATATAATTTGGCCTTTAGAGCCACCAGAAACCCCAAACAGGAGAAGTGAGAGTAAAGAAATCAGACAGCACTGGTCCTGTGTGTGTGCTTGGTGTTGTTGAGAACACACTCAGTCAGCCTCAGCACACACACCCAACACAGATACTGGACCTGACAGTCAGCCTCAGCACACAGAGGCTGTTAGTCAAGAACCAGTCAGTGAAGGATGTTCCCACACTACTTCATGAGAGGAAAGTTAGTGGATGGCAGCATCAGTAACCGTACAAAGTGCTGCTCATTCAGTTCTAGAAAGCTGAAACTATGAAACTATGGTTCAAGAAAACAAGTGGGCCTGGAGTGATGGATGGTTTCTTTTTTTAAAGATTATTTTTCTTTTACGAGTCAGAACAGTGAGAGAGTGAGACAGGAAAGGGAGAGACCTGCAGCAAACTGTCGTGAGTGGGAATCTAACTCACAACCGCCACGCCGAGGAACTCCAGCCCCTGTTCACAGGTCACCTGCTCAACCAGGTGAGCTGTAGGGGCACCCAGGAGCGGTGTATGTTTGACTGGTTAAACTACTATTTCTAGTCAACTCTTACAGACATTGGAGCATCAAAAGTTCATTTGTGACTTTTGGGAATGGCCGACGTAACAAAAAACAGTGCGCTCAAAATCCACTCTTCAACCACATCTGACATCTTCAGCAAATCCTTTTGAGCCCTCACGCAAAACAAACTACAGAACATGTAGGGTTTAGACAGCACAACACCTCTGCTCCCTGTGGACTAGCAGCTCGTATTCATGCACCAAGCGTTTCTTCCTCATTAGCCGTCATTTAAATATTTATAGTAATGCCCATGTTCAGCTGCTACGAGGTCAAGCGGCGTGCGTCTGCTGAGGCTGCTGGTGTCTGTACTCTCCATTTCAACAGCAAGCGTTGAGCCCAGCCTTTTATCTCAGTCTGCAATTTGCCATCACTACACACGAACCAACGGCTGCATTAGCGGAGGCTTGTGGTTCCTTCCCACTCTTGACCAGCGCTAGCTCCAAGGGAATCCAAAAGAAACTCTGGGTTTGTTGGGCTTCTAACCCTAACCATCGTGAAGTGATGCTGTATTAAAACACTGAACTGAAGAAACCAGAGACCAGTGGACTGTGTTCTGTCTTTTTGTTGCTTTATTCCAAGTGAACACAGAGCATCAAGCACATGAACCCTGATGATCAGGGCTGGACAGTGAAATAAGGGCACAGACGTCAACGTGTTTGGATGTACCAGGATGGAGCTTCACTCACCGATGAATCCTCTCATGTGGTAATGCTCCATCACATCTTAGATCTATTGCACAGTGATTATTAACCCTCTGAACCCTGAACAGATTCCAGATATTTTTTGGTCCCGTTCCATTTTTACCTCCTTTGGCCTAATTTTTCACTGCAGTAGAACGTCTATGGAGACACCCTGACCAGTCTCCTGTATGACAACGTCATCATTCTACAGATCATCCATAAATAAAAGACAAAAGTTGTTCTTATTTACTTTTACAAAATTTGAAAAGAAATGGAATGAACATGTCCATAGCTGGTATTAATACTGGAAATCAATGAAAACTCTACAAACTACGGATATTTTACAACTTCTGTTCCTGTATCTGTGCTCGTCTCTGTTCTGCTCTAACAGCCAGAGAGTCCCTGAATCTGTGTCACATGACAACAGCGACGTCAGCTGTGTAAAGAAGTGCAGATGTATTGACTTTATTTTAAACATCTGGATCAATTTCTGGTCATTTATTAAATCAGACATAAAACAAAGTGATTGTGATGAAGCTCGTTTTCCTGACAGCACAGAACATCACAAATGCCTGATTAAAAATAACGATTCTTTCTGTTTTCACAGTTTCTGGGAGATAAATGGTGTCATTTTGGTGATTTTTAAAAAGATAATTTGCCGGTGAAACCTGCTGGCAGGCTTTGAGGTTCAGAGGGTTAAAATGAAGCTTGACTTGAAAAAAAAAGATTTTTCACATCAAACCACAATCCCAGTATGTGCCTGCGCCTCTATGTGCAAAATTGTTCTTTTAAATCAATATTTCACTGCTTTCTGGTTCAGAATGTCAAGGTCAGGAAAAGGAACAATAAAGTGCTTCCAGACTCTGGCTCTGCTCAGCGTGGTAGCCTGTCGTCGGGTCGCAGGATGCTGCCTCTGACACCAGAAACGACGGGCAGCCGGGCCACATTCCTGCTGAGCCACCTGGACCCGTCCATCAGCAGAACCACAGCGAGCTGTTGGTGAAGAAGTCACAGCTTCCCACTGCCAGCCGTCTTCACCGTTTACAGCCACATGGAGACGACACGGACCAGTCATGAACAGTTATTTGCTTTTGGTGCGTCTGCGTTCCCTGAATTTGTTCCTTTGATGCTTATTGGTGAACTTCATTAGCTTTTAGCATTCGTGCACTTGCTTGTCATGGACTGAGTAACACTGATGAACTAATATTGGGCTTCATATAAATAAAGGAGCCCTGTTTGGTCCAGTCAGATGAAGCATTACCTGCCACACCGGTCCGGTTGAGTCTGAGGAACTTCTGGCCCAGTAACCAGACTCAGAGCACAACATTGTTTTCTGGAAAACATAGTCATCTCTCTCTTTACATGGTACAAGGACATCTGCTGCTGACAGTGTGGCTGTGCTCTTAGCTTGTCGTGTCATCAACATGTGGCCACAAGAAGGCAGAGAACCTCCACAAACGTGGTTCTATCTAAAGTGATTGTGTTTGTGGTCACTATCCATCCTGCACTTAGTGAATCTTTATTCATCTTCATGTAAACTTTCAGAACTTTGGTAGAATAAAAATATAAAAGCTGATTGGTTTTTTTTAACAGATGCAGCACATATTTCAACAAACAACAGATGAGAGCTCATTTCCAACTCTGAGTGGTCCAGCAGACACGTCCCAGGCTGCTGCTGTGGAGCAGAACACTGTACGTCCATCAGAAGGACTCGTTGCTGGTCGCTGGCATCCAAGCCAACAGGACAGAAATCAATGGCACTGTCCCCTGTGGGGCCAAACACTGGCTGACCTGAACAAACAGTTCCAGTGCAAGGATCAAAGCCAAGCAGTCAGACTTGAAGTCAGACTTGAAGGGGGACAGATCACTGCGTCTCTGTCACAGCAACACAAGAACCAGCAGACTGCAGCTTACAGGAGTTCCATGGAGCCTTAGATCCAGCTCTGAGTTTACAGTTCCCACTGCTGGCACATCATCTCTTCCTCTTCTGCTGCCGCAGCATCTTTCTCCTCTTCATGATCATGACGTGCAGCTTCTCCAGTCCTTCCTGCAGCCCCTCGCCGATGATGGCGCACGCCGGCTGAAGGTGCCAGGGCGTGGCGGCGCTGAGCTCCCCAAGAGCTAACATGCTCTCCATCTCAGCCAGACTCAGCGAGTTCCTCAAGTCCTGTTTGTTAGCCACCACCAGAACTGGCACACCCTGGTTCTCTGCCAGTCGTGTGATCTTGTGCAGCTCTGTCTTGGCCTCCTCGATGCGCTCGGCGTCCACTGAGTCCACCACAAACACGATGCCGTCGGCGCAGCGCGTGTAGGAGCGCCACAGAGGCCGCAGCTTCTCCTGACCGCCCACGTCCCAGAAGTGGAAAGACGCTGTTCGTCGGCTGCTGCCTCCAAGTGACACTTTGATCTTCTCTGTGTTGAAACCCTTTGTTGGAACGGTGTTCACGAACTCATTGAAGCGCAGGCGGTACAGGACGGTGGTCTTCCCCGCACAGTCCAGTCCCAGAATGACAATGTGGAGGGCCTGGAAGGACGGGAGGCAGGACAGGAGGGGGCGATGATCTGACAATCCGTTCCCCATCTTGGCACAGGAGAAGCTGTCACCAGCTTTTTGAGATGTTATCCCAGAGGACTGCAGCGGGAGCTGTGGTGGAGAGGAGTAAACACAGAATGATAATGAGAGAAGGCGCACAGACATCCGGCCGGACAGGTCTCAGAGGCCCAGCGAGCCTCCATCTGACACCACTGAGAGTTGGACCAGGACCACACACACAACCTTCATACGCTCATTTCTATCCAGTGTGTGAATGAGTAAACAGCAGGACTGTGGGTTTAAACGTCACCGAATCACCGAACCGCAGCTGGGCGCGCTCACATGGACGCGCAGCGGTGAGAAGGTGTTGCTCGGCAACATGGACCCACTTGTGACTGTGCTGTAAACGTAAAACAGTCTTTGGGCTGCAGCAAACACACACAAATCACACAACAGCACTGCGCACGGACCCGTCGCGGAGCTGCGCTCCTGGTGCCTCAAACCGCGTCTCGGCGGCAGCAGCGGGTTTCCGCCCTGCTGCCGCCGGAGGAGGGCAGGCTGCAGGTGGTTAGTCACTACAGGTGAACATCTCACTGAGATTGACCCTGAACTGCACATCGCTCAGTAACGACAAAAGCCTCCTGGTTCCGCTGGACCTGCCGGATGCCGGACGGTGTCCCATCAGACCCGAGCAGCCTCCAGCAGGCGACCGTGCCAACAAGTGTTGAAAATCAAAGTTCACCGCTGAACTGGGCCTAGAGGAGCTGACAGCAGGGCCTGCACAGGTCCACAGAACGAACCGAAACGCTGGTGCTGGCTGACAGCGCAGAGGAGCGGCTGGATCTCAGCTGAGCTTTGCTGAACGGAAATGTCACATCTTCAGCAGTGATCTCGGTGTTTTCAGAACCGAACAGATCCATCCACAGCAGCGGTTCGGTACACTTACCTTCTCAAACAGTGTTAATCCATGACAAAGTGCGAGTCGGTCCACAGGTCTGCGCTCTGGCGCTCAGGACGCGCTGACAGGCGGCTCGTCCCGCTGCAGCGTCAAGTCAGCGCGGCGCACACCGGCACTTCCGCCAGCGCCTTCAAAATAAAGCCCTGCAGCGGCCGAGAAACCAGTTCAACTAAGGCCAGAGGAATAAGCAGCAGTGTTGAGCGGTCATAAAATATCAACACCACAACGAACACCAGATGCACATCAGAGGAGCTGATGATGAAAACTCCTCAACAGCTGACTGAATGCCTCTGATCCAGGAGGTCGTGTTTCTGATCCAGGAGGACGTGTGTCTGATCCTCGCTGCTCGTCTCACTGCTCTGAGTGCTGGGAGACAACAAGAGTTTAGAAGGATCTTATTCAGGAACAAACCAGTGCCATGAGTAGATTTCCCCTAGACAACATAAAACAATCATTTGTTAATCCCACAGCAAGTGAATTTGCAACACATGGGACATCAGTAAAAAATAAACCAGAACCATGCACAAGTGTTCAATTTAATCCACAATAGAGGAGCAGCAGGAAGTGAACAGGATACACAGGCAAATTCTGTCGATGCACAAAGTTTTTCTATTATTTAGAAAAATACTTATGTACCAGAGATCCTTGCACTTGAATAATCCATCCATCCATCCATCCATCATCTCCACGCCTTAATCCTCACTCGGGTCTTCTCGCTGTGAGGCTGACCACCACGCCACCTGCAGTCCACAGCTGAATAATAATAATAGTAATTGATTCTTCATACCTATAAAATGTGGACACCTTCACAGTACTTACAACAGGATTTCGTGATATTCTGTTCAGGGTTTCAACAATCCATTTACAGGACTGCACATCTAGTTACGGAGACACCCCCATTGTTTCCAAACTTAGTTGGCCCTTTTATTTTGAAGGCAATCGTTTTCCGGTATAAGCTGACGTTGTGTGACTTGACGAGAATCCATTTCGAGCTCTGATTGGCGGTGAACAACGCCTGCCGCGGTCACGAGCGTACCAGAACGCGCACAAGCACGCTCACACGCAAATTTCCCACTTCTCAAACAGAAACAACTTTCACAGATCAGATTCTTTAAAATTCGTGTTTTTTTTTCTTTAAATCAATCTAAATGCACAAATCCCGTTCCGGGTTCTCTGTCGTCCATGGAGCAGCAGGACTTCTCCTGCAGTGGCAAATGTTGGGACAGGCGCAACATCACCCAGAACTTGCTTTAGATTCAGAGAGTTAATTGATTACACAAACTTTAAACAGAAATATGGGAGATTTTAAGGTGACTTCAACATGGGCTTGGATGAACACAGTTTAACTTGTTGTTGGGAAACACGCCGGAGACCACTTTGTTCTTTTAAACATACTTCATAGTCTGATTGGACTCTCTGGTTCTATTGTTAACTTATATCTGGTCCTGTCTCACTAACAGAGACATTTTTATTCAGGGTGGAGGATTGATCATCTAAGAGCTATAAAATGAATTATGGTGTTCCTCAGGGTTCAGTGTTAGGTCCAATACTTTTTAGTCTATACATGTCATCAGGAGGGACAGCATCAGCTTCCACAGTTATGCTGATGACACAGCTGGACATCAGCCTGTACCCCCAGGCCAACTGGTGCTGTTCTTAATCATATTTTAGACATTAAATCATTGATGACAAATAACTTTCTACAGCTCAGCCAGGACAAAACTAAGGTCCTGGTCCTTGGAACTGAAGCTCAGAGAGAGAAGATTAACCCACAACTGTGAGCAGTAAACAAATACAAATTCTGGACTCAGCCTCAGTTTTGAGCCCCACATTAAAAATATAAGCAAGGTGGCTTTTCATCATCTGAAAAACATTGCCAGTCTGCAACCGGTACGCTCTAAAACTACTACAGAGACACTGATACATGTGGATTGGTTACTGTAATGCTCGCCTATCTGGTCCCCCTAAGAAGACTGTACTTCCACTGCAGCTATTTGAAAACTCTAAGATCTGAGTAAAACCAGAAGGAGGGCTCACTTGCACCAATTTTAAAGCCTCTGCGCTGGTTAACTGTCTCTTTTAGAATTGATTTGATGATCTTTTTATTGGTCTGTAAGTTTCTGAACGGTCTGGATCCTCTGTAGTCATCAGATTTGCTTTTATTTTGTGCTTTTTATCTTTACCCTTAGACCCGTTGGATCTTTTGAAGTGGCCTTTTAATCAAACCAAACCAAAGTCAGAACTAAAACTCACAGTGAGGCAGCATTTTGTTGTTACAGTTCACATCTCTGGGACACAGAGCATCGATGCTTTAGAGACAACTCAGTCACTAAACTTATTCATTTGATTTAGTCTCATCCAGGCCTTCCTTCCTGGATGTGTTCTCTAGGACAGTGTTTTCTCAGTTACTCAAGCCGTGTGTTTGAGTCCTTCATTATTCATTATTCGTAACCCTTTAGCATGATGGTGGCAGCTGTGTCTATTGCTTTACTGCATTTTCATTCCTATCATCTGGAAAGCACTTTGTGTTGCATTTCATTTGTATGAAAAGTGTGACATAAATAAGGTCTGATTGGTTTCAACAGATGCACTTTTAGACTGAGTCTTGTTGGCTGTGATCATTCATTCACGTGCACTGTGCCACCACTCACTCTTGATGTGTTTTCCTTGGCACACAAAAGAAAAACAAAAATTTGTTGCTCATTTGTTGTTTTGTCCCAAAAAAACTTGACATCAGAAAGAATAAACACAAATACCAGCTCATCTCTTCTTTGTCTGATATAAAAAGGCTGTTGCTGTGTGTTTTCTCTCATGAGAAGCAGATTTAAGCTGCTTCATTTTAATTGTAAAATAATACTGAGAAATTATGGTTGTATGAAAATGAACTTTCACCACTGTGGGATCAATAACGTTTATCTTTATGACATAAATATTAGTTGCACTGAATGTGTTATGCACAGTAAGACAGAGTTTGAGTCATTTATATCGTCCCTTGGAGTCAAATGCATTGTTGTGGTCCTTGGTGAGCTGGAATCACATGAAGAGCTGTTCAGCTTGGGCTTACAGTTAGAACAGAAATGCTTTATTTATCCCAGACCTGGAGAGCTAGCAGTACCTCAGTGAGTTTGTTTCCTAACCTTTAAGCCAAAGTAACAGCTTTGCAGCTTGGCCTCTATATTGTGTCACCAGGCAACAACCCACAGGCTCTGACTCGACCAAAACTGCAATCTGGGGATAAATAACAAAAAGAGAGCCGACTGGTCTTCACGTCAGCCTTTCTTTCATTGACTGAATTTCAGATTGTAATTTAAAAATGGCAGTCTAGGGTTTAAGGTGTGGCTTTGTAATGAATAATCACTGATGGGACACCGGGAATGTGTTTGACGGTGACCTCAGGTGGCAGTTAGAGCTGGTAGGAATGAAACGAGACAGTTTCTGTACCTTCAGTGACACTACGTGTTGCTGACCACTGGAAACGTGCCCTACATCAGAGAAGTGAGCAGAACCACATGAACTGGTGTCAGAACCACACACAGCACGATGTGACCACTAATCCTGGAGCGCCATCACACTGCAGTGCAGAAACCTGGCTTCAGACAACTTGTAAAGATATTGTGCATTTTAAATAGTTCTAATTTCTTGGTCTTGATTACAGCGCCACCCAGTGACCAACTGGGAGTTTGCACACTCATTCCAGCTAATGGCGATGTGAGTTACGGCAAACGAACAAAAGTAAAATTCTAACAACTAGAACTTTTCAGTGACATTCTTGAAGACACTGTGGTGAGATTGCTGCTGCTGCTAAAATTCACATCTGAAAACTGGCTCAACTTTGTACAAATGAGCAGCTGAAGAGTTGGACAGAATGTGACTGCCTCTGAACGTGCTTTCAGGAATCACATGAATAATAAAGAACAAAGGCGGCAGCAGTGGGGTCGCTAACGGATAAAGAATGCTTCCACAATGAGCTGTACTGATAAAAAGCAGCAGGCCAGAAACGAGCTGTTCAAAGTGTCACAGCACTGAGATGGACCAGCGGTGGGCTTCTTTCTCAGCCAATAAGAGACAAGAAAAGCTACGCAGGTTAGATGATCAGCTTAAAACTTTATTCATGCTCCCACAACAATCACTACATCAGTACAAATAAGGACTAAAAATGTAAAGCGACAAACGAGGTATGATGAGGTGAAACACAAAGGTAGCTCTGAGACGGTAAATGATGGACTGGTAACCAAGCAACCATGTGTGGTGGATGTCAGGGTTCAAAACAAAGTCAGAATCGTGCTTCTCCTCAGGTCTTAGCTCCTCCTCAGGTCTTAGCTCAGAAGCTACAGCTCCCGTCTGTTTCACCATCGATCCAAAGTTGCTCAACATCTCAGACACAGTCTGAAGGTTTTACATGATGGAAAAATAGATTTTAGTTCTGTTAACAGAAACCACAGCAAGTGGAAATACACACGGTGTCATCAAATTATACATGATTTTGTAAGAAGAAAAAACCCCTTTAGAAGCTTATCTAAGAAATAAACCAGGAGGAAGGCTGGACAGAGTATTACTGTTAATATTCCTTATCATTTTCTGTCAGGCAGTAAAACAGGAAGGCGGAGACCAACACAGGTTGCAATGTGGTTGTGATGGTGTGCAGTCAGAAAATCATAGCATGTGTCAGCAGGACAGACTTTGTTGGTCACAGCCGCATTTCTGTCCAGCATGTCATGAAACATGCTTGCTTGCATTGTTTTTCAGAAGCAGATGAGGACCTTTGTATCAGACCATCTGTGAGAGGAGGAGATGCAGTGTTTAGTCCTGGAGGGATGGACCCTGCTGGCCTTACCCCTCTGGAGCTAACCCCTGCTGCTAAACAGGAACAGCTCCCTGTCTCAGGACAGGGCACTTGCTGCCGGCGACTTGTGCCTTCATGCAGCCTGTACACCACTCCATCACCCCCAACACGGAGACCTCCAGCCGAACACTGTCGGTTCCCCTCGAGCCAACACACCAGTGGTGACCTCTGAGGCCGCCTGGTGGCGCCACCTGTCTGTGGGTTGTGGGTGGAACCTCCCCAGGCCGCTGCACACCCCTTGGATGTTAAATTGGATGGAGACCTGGGGAGTTGGGAGGCCAGGTCAACGCCTTGGCACTTCATTCTGTTCTGTGAACAGTTCCTGAGCTACTTTAGTGATATGTTAGGGCGCGTTGTCCTGCTGACGGAGGGTGCAGCTGTGTGGGTCATGATGGAGGATACCACAGCGTTTAGGGGGCGGTACATGTCAGAATAACATCCACGTGAATGACAACACCTCCCAGCAAAAGGCCGAACTGTTTCTCTGGTTCCTCTGATTTGGACTCCCTGGTTCTGCATTTCACAGCCTCCTTAAAATAGTTTGCTAGTGTTTGATGGCACAAGTACGTTGTCAGAGTTCGCCAAAGCGACGCTGACATAAAAGAGAACTGTGCTCCAAACTTGTGCAGTATGAAACGTTGGTGTGACGGTAAATAATCCATCTGGGTAGGAGGACAAGAAAGCAGCTTTCCCATGTGTGCTTTAGTCACTGAGCCACTGCACACAGTGAGCAGCACTGAGCCCAGAAACAGGAAGACCATCGGAGGTCATAAGTTCATTACAAAGTGCCAGCGATAAATATGAAATAACGGAATTAAAACAGACTGAGCATCAACAAGCAAACACTACATAAGTGAGCTTCTGTCAGAACCCTGCAGCCCACTGGGTCGTCTGGTCCTGTAGGAACACCACCTGTCCTTCATCCAGCCCAACACACTGGGCCAGCAACAGAACCTCTCTTTAGAAACTAACAATGCACTTTAAATAGACGGTTTACATTTTGGTTCAAAGAACAATCAAGTTTTTAAATCTATAAGTAGGAGCATGATTTCTGCTCATTCCTCTAACAGCAGTGTACAGCAGGTAGATCAGAACTCATGGACACCAGGAGGTACCAGGGTGCAGCCCAATAACGTCATGACGTGATGCCGTCGTGCTGTTCTGATAGAAACGATCCTTTCATCGTGTGAGGTGTGGTCCTGAAACTAGTTTGCTTTGTAAGGACCATGACTAGAGAATAACTATGGAGCTGGAGGCCTGTCCTGACAAATGGACCGCTATCAGGAACACGATGCGTTTCCATCTCAGGACTGACCAACAGCTGTGGCGGCAGAGAAGTGACAGGAGGACGTGAGTGGTCCAGTTAAAGGCAGGGAGGACTAATGACTACAAAGCTCAGGACTAACTTAAGAACTGGTACTGAAACTCCGGAAGGTTTTGGCTCTGATACTGAAAATAAAAATTCAAGCTAGTGTGAGTGAGCCGGTGTTTAAACAGGACCACATCCTCTATCTTCACTAAATGACACGACTGTGTGAGGCTCCTAAAAGGAGACACGAGACCTAAAAACGAGCAGCAACAGCTGTTTTCCAAGCAGTGGAGGATGAAGGTATTTATCCCAGTCAAGGTTTTCTCTCCACACAGCAGACTCTTGAGCTCAGAGGGCCAGTGAACTACTTGAAGCAGTCAGCTATCTGCTTCCCACCTACAGGGTTGAGAACCTGGACACCTGAGCAGTGTGACTGGACTCACATGTACAGATGCACACAACATTCAGCATCACAGACAAAGGGAACGTTCTATATGACCCACATGTCACCATTAGGTGTGTTCTTGTAACTATGAGGTCAGGATCTGGTCATTAGGAGACGCATTGTTATGACACACAGGTTAAAACTGTGACGTGAAAAGTTCTAACTGCAACATAAAACCTTCTTCAGTTTTTCTTTGCTGCCCGAGAAACTTCACTTTCCAATCTGAGCATGGATTCCTTCTAGTCTATGAAGTTAACATCATGGCATCATGACAACAACAGTTGTTAGACAGTGCAGGGGAGGAGGACACGGGGAAGGACGGAGGCGAGCCTTCAGGCCAGAGGACAGGGTGGGGTTACTCAGCAGGCTGTGGGACGCTGAACGGCTGGCTCAGGCTTCTAATGGAGGTGGTGTTTCCTCCACAGTCCACGTACTGGTACATCTCCTGAGACACCTGCTCCACATGACCGAAGTACGCAGTGGTCACCGTCACTCTGCACAGGAGAGAGACGGTGAGGGAAGGCCACACACTGCACAGCTAAGCCATGGCTCTATGCTAGCATCAGAATCAAAGACAGCATCCACTCACTGCATCATCACCACGATGTTGTGGACCTTGATGGTTTGCAGAGTGCAGTAGTCACTGGAAACAAAACGGGAGGTTAGTAAACTTGTTGTGTGTCGACCAATCAGAAATAACAGTGTTTAAAAGTCGAGTGAGCCAGCTCGGTATGGTTCATATACACATGGTATGGTTCACACACACACACACACATATATATATATATATATGTGTGTATGTATGTATGTATGTATGTATATATATATATATATATGGTACTCTTTCACATGAAGGGAGCCTTATGAGCAGCACGATATGAACTGCACAACAGTGGTGGACTCACTCCTCTGGCATAGGCTGGCTTGTTAATGTCATTCTGCTGTCAGCATGCTCACACAGACGTTGACAGCAGCTTAACATTTACTTTAGTTGCCATCACAGGTCAGTATGTGAACAAGTCAGTACCTGCTAACTGGTAGCACAATGCTGACACACTGCACTGTGGTACAAAAGGACATGGTGCAAAGAAAGTGGTCTCTGCTCTATAAATGATGATCCTCTGAGTCTCTACCACCAGGTCAGAGTCATATTTGAAAGACTCGAGCCAAATCCCACATTCTTACTTTCACCTGAGTAAAAGAACAGGATGGAAAAAGGCTGAAAGGCTGCAGCAAGACCTGTGACTCTAATGAAATTCACTCTGAATGTATACATCAGTCGTTAATCATGCAGTCACACATGTTATCACTGACCTCGGCTGTAGCAGGAGAAGACCTTGCTTTGGTAATGACCAGACATTTCAGTGAGCTTTCCACTTGTCTGGGATGTGGCATCAACCAAAGGGACAGAGACAGGGAACTATCTGTTGTTTCCAGAACACATTCATCCACACACAGCCACAAACACTCTCCTACCAATGTCTTGCCTGACATGACCAGGCTGTGATCAGAATTAGGATTGCTAAGCCACTGAGATGCTGCTGAGTACCAGCTGGGATATCAGGTCACCATGTGTGAGTGGAGCTCTTCATCTGCACCGCCTCCTGCTCTCTCTCCTCACTATTTTTTCAAAATCATCAGCTACAGACTGCTTCATCCTTTGGACTTCAGCTGAATGGATGATTCTACGTGCCAGGCAGAGACTGACTGAGCCAGTGAAGCAGAAAAAGTATGAGTTTACCCACCACGGCTGGCAGCCAGAGAGGCACCGGACGAGCCGCTGATCAACACAACATATGCATGGCTGGATCAGAGCAGTTCTCCAGGCCATGCCTCATATCATGCAGCACTTACTACATGTAGCTCATCTCATCTGCGATGGTGGTAGGGACCATGTAATCGATCTGAAAACAGAGATGGACAACAATCAAGCGTCCGTGTGGACACCCATATGGTGGACGGACACGGAGTGGGAGCCTACCTGTTTCATGTCCAGAGGACTAATGGCAGTGATGTTACTGATGCGAGATTTACCAATCACCGTCTTGGAAAACTGCACCTGAGCTGTGATGTTGGCCACCTCCACTGAGTAGTAGTTGTTGTTGGTGATGTTGAGAGTGTTCTGGAAGCAGCATGAGATGATGTAAAGATCCCATACTGAGCCCATTTTCAACAGCTTACTGAAGGTCCGACATGTTCCTAGAACGTGGTTTTGATCTGGTTCATTCCACCATGCCTGTATCACCACGGTGTACAGCTCTGTTCTACGGGCCTGAAACCCAAACCCTGAGGACTTCTGATCATTGAGGGAACACTGCTATCAGTGATAAAGTCATCTACTCATTCTTCAGTTCCTCAGATGCTGCACGTGCAAACAGCAGAGTACGTAGATGCTCGTAGAAGACACATTTCACACAGAAGCAGCTTCAGATTCCTCCGAGCTGCTGTGCAGGACTAGATACAGCTGAAACCACAAGCTCACACTGGACAAACAGACACAGAACCTTTTATTTTTTTCTCACTGCGACATGAAATCAGACTAAACTGTTCCTGTTTCAGCTCAGTCAGGATCACCGACATGATTTCTATTTGCTAAACTCCAGAATAATGAGAGAGAGAACGTTTACTGCACTAACGTGGACATTTCCCTGGTGGTCTTATCTTAATAGATTCTAAGGCCAAGGGTGTTCCTACGCTTTACTCAAAGGAATATGACACCTTTTATTTGTATAATAAATAACTGGGAAGAACACATTTTCCTTGTGATGTTGTTTGAAGGTTCTACAGACAAGAGTATGAACATTAATACAACACAACTGCAGCAACAGCCACCTACTGGCTGTGTAAAGCTGTAGGAGAGTGACGGCGTCCTGAGAATGAAGAAACACCCCCTCGCTGTGTGTTCTCATCCGAGGAGTGGAGCCTCACCGTGATGTTGAGATACACGCTGCGCTTTTCTTGGTCGTAGCTGACGAAGACGGACTTTACCCCCACGTAGGACACGTCAATGGAGCGAGGGAAGAGGAAGAACACAGCCAGGCTGGACAGAAACAGGCAAAGCACCACAGATGCCGTCACATACAGCTTCCTGTGAAGGACAGCAACAACCGTGATTACATTCCTGCACACATATTAAAACACACCTGGTGTAATTCAGTCAGTGAACTACACCAACATTACAATGAGCAGAGTGCAGCGTGGAATAGTCTGACAGAGTCCAGGTTGGCTGCTCAGTGAGCAGGGCGGCTGGGGAGCTGATAGATCTGTATATTCTAGAGAAAGTAATGGAGTAGAGTTACATCTAAGACATTTTAAGACATGTGACAGACTGAGATGAGGTTGAAGGGGTTTAATCAACAACTGCAGACACTCTAATGAATGTCAGTCACATTTCTGAGCCATTAATTCACAGTAAAGTGTAAAGAGGTTTTTAAAAATGAATGACAATATGAAAACACAAAACCACGTGCACAGGGGCATGTCAGAGTGAGTCATGTGATGACGTGAACGATACTTGACGCTGTGCGGTTTTATGTCTTTCTGAGAATTGTCTGACTGATGCAATAGTCTCTCCTCACACTGGGTGGGACTAAACACACCGTTAATGACTCTATATGTTGTGATGATCTGATTGGCTAACCAGGACTAATGAACATCCTCCAGCCATCGGTATCGGCTACTGATAAGAGTTCTTTAACATTCCTAACCATCTCTAACTTGTAACAGACACTAAGCTTTGGTGCAGTCTGACGTTAACAAGACATGAATGTTTTCAGGTGTGTTAGTGCTGAGGGCTAACTTTAGCAGAGAGCTGCTTCCTTTAACCTTCATCCGTGTGGACCTAACAAAAGACACACAGAGACAGATTCACTCACGTCCTTCTGGGTCTCAGCCTCTGGTCACTGTAGGGAATCAGCGCCACCAGTTGGTTTTCCTGCCCTAAAGTACAGCAAACAATCAGTGAAGAGTCCCTGTCAGCTGCTGCTGGAACAAAGAGTGGTCAAACCAGAGCCTATTTTCATCATCCTCCTGGCTGACTTCAGGAATATGAGTGCACACCATGGTGTTACCTCTGGGGATTCTCCCAGTGCCCTGACACGTAGGACACGTCACACTGTCCCGGCCCGTGAACTCCACATAGGGAAACTGGGAGACATCGCCACCCTTGCCATTCTCAGACTGGGTGTCCTCCAGAGGAGAGGTCAGGTTTTCCTGAGTCTCATCATGGCCTGCCTGCTTTGGGAGGTGGGAAAAAGGCTTCCCCATCGTCACACCTGGAAAAAAAAAGGTCAAAACAGAAAAAATCTGTGACTCACAGTATCAGTTCAGTATAACAACACTGTGTGTCCGTGGGACTGGCCTGGCCATGGACCAGTGAAAGCCCCGTAGAAACGGTAGGAGGTGGCTATCCATACACCAGACATTTCCGTTTATGTCATGTCTGTTAACATATGAACACCTCCAGAATACTGCATGGGAAGTTTACAGTCCCTCCAGCTGACATGGCTGATGGTCCATTCACCACCAGGACTCACGGGCCCCCAGCAGTAAATGTTGTGACACCAAGTGGTTCAGCAGCAATGACAGCAAAAATGCTGGTGGAGCTGCCAGTTTACACAACACAGGAAGTGAATCTGCCATGTCAGGAAGGACTCCATGATGGTGAATCTCTCTGGGGAGGGATCTAAGCACTGCGTTACAGGGACTAGATATGGAGTCGCAGACCCCTCGTCTGTCTAGAGAAGGCTTCCTTCACTGCCCTCTCCAACCATCTACCCTCCCTGTCCAGAACGTGTATGCTGCTGTCCTCACAGGACTGTCCCTTATCCTCCAGATGCAGGTGGATGCTGAGTCCTGCCCTGAGGAGCTGCTCTCCTGTGTTGTTGTGCTGTGCCTTTGTGTCTTCCAGATCTTTTTGCTGACCCCAGTTGGGGTCGCCACAGTTTGTCAATGCATTCCTATTATGTGTGTGTTCCTTCTCTTCTCCCTCTGCATTGGAAGCAACATTCCCAGTCCATGCTGTGAGGTTCAGAGAGTCCCCAGCCTGTGTTCCAGCAGGTGGTGGGAGTCAAACTGCACATATTGTTCTGCATGTTTTCTGTAGACTTCAAAGCTTCAATCTTTCTCCATGTGTCCAACGCAGTCAAACAAGGCATTTAGTATCCCTCACATCTTGGGAACTTTGCTGTGTACCGAGTTAACGTGCTTCATGAAGGCTTGTAGATCTTGGGCTTTGGTTTTGACCCAAGAGTCGCCCTCGTGTCGTAACCAGTGGTGCAGATATGAAATCACAACCACCGTGCCTGCTCTGCATGTCTACACAGCCACAAGCCATGACTGGATGCTAGCTGTGACCACACAGTGCACCTGTGGCTGAGCATCTGTACGTTTCTGTGCACATTTGTTCAGGCTGTTTATTCAGGACACTTCAGAACCTCCCTTCTGACAGGAGGTCCATCAGGACGACAACCTCACGACACAGAAACAGTTTTTGTCCTACAGCAGTGGACTTTGAAAGTCATGAAATTATACATTTGGTTAAAAGAAAACGACTCATTGGAAGATTCTGTGGCTGTCTGACTGTATGGGACGCTCATTGTTTCATGGAGGGATTCCTTCAGCTCGGAACAACACACCAATAACAACAGGCACCACTGTGAGATCCTTTAGGGCCTATCAGGCACCGGATTTGGTAAAACAAAAACAAGACACATTTAATATGCTTAAACTATCCCCAAGAAGGCTTTGTCCTTACTGGGTTAAAGTTGAGGAGCAGTTGGATAAGAATTAGCTGGATTGGAGAATTCCGTTCCGTACATGCGCAGTAGTATTAGCGGACGTGGAAAGTCAAATAAAAGAGATTAAGGCGTCGCTGAGACCCGAACAGGCAGCCGACGGGTGTCAGGCTGACATTAACTGACACTCAAACTAGTCAAATGCGTGGTACCACAGCAGACTGTCATCGCTAGTAAACGCACTGTTAGCAACTCACCGAGCAGTCAACACAGCTAGCTACGGTTAGCTGGAGGCTAAGCTACAGCCAGTGCTCTAGGGCCAGTCAGCATTAGAAATAACTCAGCGTAAACCGAAGTGAACACGCAAGCTGCCCCAACCCTCCTAAAGCAGAGCTACCCTGTTAGCTAGCTAGCTAGCTCACAGCTAACAATGACAGTGCCATGGAAGCTAACGTAGCTAGCTAGCTAAACATCTAACGCAGCTTCTTCACTAAACGCCAGCGAGGAAGCTGCTTCGACAGCACGCAGTTTTACGTAATGTCAGCAACAAGGGCGGCAGAGAACTACCTGAATGCGACTCTGTGAGAAGACGACCGGAATGCTGGTGCTAGTGGGTCATGCAGCTTTGTTTATCGTCTGAAAACAGACATGCGCGAATGTACTGTAACCATGGCAATCTTCTTCTTCTCCGTCTTACGACGTAGAGCGCTGTGCTGCCCTCCACTGGCGAGGAGGGGCAGGTGCTGGCTCAGCAACATGCTGCTGCTGCTGCTGCTTCTAAGAACAGGCCAGCTGACTGAAGACATCTTATGGCTGCTGAAACACTGAGTTAAAATTGTCTTCAGATGAAAAACCCCACTGAGGTCTGACTCCTGAACAACCTTCAACCTCTGCATTTGCTCTATAAGAATACAGCATGTTGAGTTTCCAAATTTCCATCTAGACTGTCTGGATGTTTGCGACTTTCAAATAGCTGGCAGAGACCACAGAGTTGATCATCAACCTCCTTTAGCTTGTCTTTTCATTGTTTGCAGCTGGAGCTGTCCACATTATCCCAACATAACCTGAAAACCTTTATAAGATAAGATAAGATAAGATAAGATAAGATATGCCTTTATTTATCTCACAGTGGAGAAATTCACGTTGTTGTTGGCAGCATTAAACACAGAGATGCACACATACGAGACCAAAAAAAATGTACATATAAATATAAGAAATAGTGCAAACAAAAGAGAATAGTGCAAACAGAATATGAAAATAGGCTTCTGAATGGGGGGTACATAGTACATAGAGCTTAGCTCGCCAGTGATTCCTCAGTTCATTTGTTAGAAATGTTTATTTTGTTCACCCCCTGAGTGTCCATATATATATATATAAAGCCTACACAAAGGCATATTTTCAATCCTACACAAGCAGCACAACATTTCCTGATGCAGGTCATGAAGGGTGCTTCATGTGCAATAAGGCACCTGTAGAATCCAAACAAACAATACTTCTACGGGCTTTAACCGGCTCCATGCATATAACTTAGATCTTTCATGATCATTCATGTATTTTTAAACATGGAAATCAAAAAACTTTACTCATCAGCTGACATAGCTTAATTTCCATTTTTGTACTTTCAAGACTTAAGCGCTCCCGTACAAGTGGCTTTGGATTATGACCATCATGGAAAATCTTAACATACAGTTGAAACCAGAAGTTTCCATCCATCTCCCCAGTATCTGGCAGCGTTGCCGTTAAACTCTATGACTTGGGTCAAGCGTTCTGGGTTTCCTTCCACAAGCTTCTCACAACAGTCTGATGAGTTCTGGCCCATTCCTCCTGACAGAACTGGTGTAACTGGGTCAGGTTTGTTGGTCTCCTTGCTCCACTGATGTTCTCCAGGATGGAGATCAGGGCTTTGTGATGGCCGCTCCACAACACTGACTCTGTTGTCCTGAAGCCTCTCTGTAGCTAATCTGGCGCTATGCTGAGGGTCATTGTCCATCTGAAGACCTATTAGTGCCCAAGCTGTAACTTCCTGCTGATGTCTGGAGATGTTGCTTCAATATCTTCACATCATGTTCTTTCCTCATGATGCCATCTATTCTGTGAAGTGCACCAGTCCCCCCATCCTATGGATGGGGCGTCGCTATAGCTCACCTGGTTGAGCAGGCATCCCATGTTCGAATCCCGCTCATGGCCCTTTCCCACATGTTCTCCCCCCACTTTCCTGTCTCTCTCACTGTTCTATCAATAAAGGCACAAAGGCCAAAAAAAAAAAAAAAAAAATCACCTATGAAGATGACAGGTGTCAGCCAAAGGCAGCAGTCATCAGGAGAATCAGATCCAGCTGAAACCTGGAGATGGACACTCAGAGGGCACTCCTCTGCCAAGGCCAGGGCTCTATCTCACAGTTTTACAGGCCAGTCTTCATTAAATCCAGTTCTTCTGGCCATGCTCCACCCTCTGCCAAATGTAATGAAATTGAACTTGTAGTTCTTTGTGTTGTTTTGCTGACAGACAATAGACAGACAAACGGCATAAAAAATACCAAGTTGCTGCCATTTTAAGCTGATAAAACATTTCCTGGGGTCCTGTTTAACTCATCATGACTCACAGCAGAATATTACAGACTTAGGTGTGTTTAGCAGCAATCTAAAAACACTTTCATGTCGCATATTATCGACTTTCTCCTGGAAGACTCAAATGCATCCAACTAAAAAGGTTTACAGTGAAAATTAAACAGAAAATGTGGTGCTTTAACGATGGGCTCTAGTTCAGTCTGCCCTACATGCTCGTGCCTCCACCGGATTGTATAGATGAGCTGAGGCTATCACCAGAGAACTGTGACCTCTGATCTCGACACCTTCATACTTGTAGTGTGTAAATTCATCCAGTAGGTGGAAATGTTTGTCCATGTTCTCGCATGATCCACTGACAGCGCCCTCCTGTTAACGCTGGGAGGAACAAGGATGTTTGTCCTAATTTATGACTAAAAACACAGCAATAATAGTAAAAGCTGTCCTTTGGCTCTTAAACTATTTATATGCAAATAAATTCTGTCATTTTACACAAATAGTCATTTTTATTGTGAACATCCTTTTCCAACTGTTAAAAAAGGATTTTATGACCCATCAGTTCTGGTCACTGATCACATGTTTGGTTAATGGCCAGTGTGTTTGGGCTCATTGGCTTGATGAAGACAGGATGAGGGTCTATATCACGGTTGGTTTGAATTATGGCCACTGCTTGTCTTTATCCACACTTCTGGTCTTGTGTGTCCACAAAGCTTTGCTCCAGAACCGTTCTTGCTTGCTGCTGAGAGGAGGTTCAGAGGCATTTTGCACTACATCTGCTGTCATTCTGCAGTTCAAGTCTTGTTCGAGTGTGAATTGTGATGCTTACGTGCCCGTGCTCCCCAGACTGACCACGATGTCCCTGACACTTGTTTTGGAGTTCCTCTCATTAGCTAATTGGATGTTTTGAGCTGTCATTGTTTTGCCTTCTGGTTCCGGTTGGAATCTCATCAGATGAAGAGGCTATCATGAAAGCTAGACAGCCACTGCCCTTTCATGTGTTAAAATTCCTGCAAAAACACCTGGACAATGAGTTACACTGGTCAGCCAGTACATTGCTTTTTTGTCCACACCTGAAAAATAGTCTTAGGCATAAAACAAGTCTTTGTTAAAATCATGTAAGCAAAGAAGTCCATCCATCCATCATCGCTACACCTTAATCCTCACTAGGGTGGTGGGGGGCTGGAGTCTATCCCAGCTGACTCAGGGTGAAGGCAGGTTCACCTGGACAGGTAACCAGTCTATCACAGGGCTACACTTAGAGACAGACAACCAAGCACACTCACATTCACACCTACGGACAATTTAGAATCGCCAATTAACCTCAGCATGTTTCTGGACTGTGGGAGGAAGCCGGAGAACCCGGAGAGAACCCACGCTGTATGGGGGAGAACATGGAGACTCCACGCAGGAAGATCCCGGGTGTCCTCACTGGGACGCCAACTGGCGACCTTCTAGCTGTGAGGCGATGGTGCTAACCACCAAGACACCTGCAGCCCGCGTAAGCAAAGAAGTGAATAGTGAAATAAAAGCTACAGACAGTCTCTACTTTGTAAATTGTTGTGTTTTGAGCTCACAGTCATGCCTGAAGTCAGCACACCCATCAGCAAGTACTGTCTAAGTCAACAAAAGTTCAAAGTCATGTTGCACAAGGAACCTAACTGAACATTTTATGTCAGAATCTATGTCTGAAATAAAGCCTCTGCAAAGATGGGCGGTCTTTTGAAGCCTCCCATGTTTCAAGATAACAAAAAAGAAATGTAGACATTGACATCTGATAGCATTCTGACGAGTTCCTACATTATCAGTGCCATCGACCACCAGATCCAGTGATGTCCTCTTTCCTGCTCAGTTTTGTCCTTTGCTGCTGACATCATGGTATGTTTCCCCATAATCACCAAAAAATGGTGATGAAATAATTTGAAACACAGAATGCGTGAGCAGTTATATCAACATGGATGCATTCAACACGCATACACAGTGGTGGAGTGCTGAGATGACGAGCTGGACAGTGTGTTGGTCAATTTGTGTTGTAGGAAAGACAAAAATCACAAGTCACCCTGCGTCTTTGTTCAAGAGTGAAACTTAAAGGACAGCCACAATTCTTACAAATAATAGCACCAAACATGGTTCAGAAGCAGTCTTTAATCAAGGATTCAGATCACAGAATTCAGATAAGTTCCTCTGCAGAGGAAGGTGACGTATGACATTAAAGCACCTAAAACTCCCACATACTTATTCTGTTCTTACAACAGGCCAGAAACCTGACTGACATACAAGCATTTTTGAAATGTGGAATGAAATCATGTCAAGCATATGACCAGAACAGCCTTCTTCCACCTAACATTGCCCACCCCTACTGCAACAGTCGTCTTTATGGTATATCATCCAAATTTCTCAAGAAACTTCAGTCCATCCAGAATTCTTCTGCTCACCCACTACATCCCCCATCCTTCAGAACCTCCTCTGGCTCCTAACCCCCCAGCGAATCCACTTCGAAACCCTCCTGATCACCTACAAAGCTCTCCATGACCTGGCTCCCCTGACCTGACTGAACTCCTCCACTGGCTTACTGTCACCTGTAGCCTCCAATCAGCGGGTTTGGCCTCCTGGCCACCCCCATCCGGACCAAATACCGGACCTGGGCTGGCAGGGCTTTCTCCATCGCCGCTATCACCCTCTGGAACTCGCTCCCCAAAGCAACAGAGGATCCTCCTCACTGTCCATATTCAAGACATCTATAAAGACATACCTTTTCAACACTGTTTATTTGTTATTTTTTCTGTTACTTTGTTTGTTTTGTTGTTGTATAAGTATTATGCATTATTATTATTCATGTTCAGAGGTGATGGATGTCTACAAAGGCACAGATAAAGCCTTTCACCCATCATTTACAAACGCATTTCCTTAAATCCCTTCTGCTCTGATGAACATAGAGCAGGGGTGTCCATGTTATGAACATGACACTGAGATCTGTGGACTTCAGTGGCCTCCCAAGACCACATCTAAATCCAGGACAACAGCCTTTGGGATGTGCAGCCAACACATCCGCAGACATGATGTTATGCTGTCATGTACATGCGCTGCAG